AAGAGAAAAAAATAGAATAAAAACGAAGAAGAAAAATAAGAAAAAAGGGTGAACGGTAAGAAAATCCTCTGTAGAGTGAATAATATTAATAAAGTAAATGAAATAAGGGATTTTAAGAGGGAATAAAAATGATAAAGGTTTCTGATAAGTTGCATGGTAAGAAACCTGAAAAAAAACTGGTTTTCTGTCGCTACGAAGTATCCATAAACTAATCCATACTTTCAAATAATGTACTCCCTTTGAAGCTATCCATCAGAAATAATGCTATAATCATCGTAAAACAAAAAAAAATATCAAGATGATACAGAGGAAGAAAAATAATCAGAATGAAAAAAAAAAAAAGATAAATAAAAACATCTGATGGAAAGCACGTCTCAAAAAAAATATATATATATAAGGTGTAGAGAGCTGCACGCACCACAGTTGTGAGTTTGATCAATATAATGATAAAAATAATAAACAATAATCAAGTTTTATTCCATTTGTTACAATGGTCAGGACGTTTTTACATTCCTAGGTACAGGAAAATAAAGACAATTGTCCTGTTTATATATCTAGAAACTCTGGATAGATAAAGGGAGCTGCAATTAGCCGGTGATCTTAAAATATTTCGAGAATTCGTAGTTTGTATGGTGAAAACTGTATTTTAAACTATATTACAAGAAAAAAAATATAAGTATATATATATACCCACACATATATATATATGTGTATATATATATATATATATATATATATATATATATATATATATATATATATATATGTATATATATATATATATATATATAAACATATATATGTGTGTGTGTGTCTGCGTGTGTGTGTGTGTGTGTGTGTGTGTGTGTGTGTGTGTGTGTGTGTGTGTGTGTATGTGTGCTCCCTTAGTTGAATATTGATTTCCGTTGCGGTCTGAATAATGAAATCATCCTCGCCGAAGTGTGCATATTCAGTGCCACGGACATTCGTGTGCCGAGTCGGCGAAGACAATGAGGCGCCGTCAAGAGAATCAAGAGAACTGAGGAATGTCTATAAATCCTGACGAAGATGTAAAGAGAGAGACAGTGTGCTACTCATTTGTGTGTATATATGTATATACGTATATGCATAAATATATATTCATATATTTATGCACACACACACACATACATACATGCACACACACACACACACACACACACACACACACACACACACATATATATATGTGTGTGTGTGTGTATATATACATACATATATATACATATATATGTGCGTGTGTGTCTGCGTGTTTGTGTTTGTGTGTGTTTGTTTATGTGTGTGTGTTGTATGTACGCATGCATGTATGTATGTATATACACACTCACATACAAGCTTTACATATAATTTTCTACACAAAAAGGACACGCGTCAAAGCAGAAAAGACCAGCAGAACAAGACCTACTGGATACGAGGCGTCTTGCATATCGAAGTAGCGCCAGTCTGCCTCCGCAGAACTCAGAAGCAGAATGTCGTTCTCACACAGGCGGGTCGCCAGCAGGTCACACGTGCCTGAAGCTCTCTGAAGGTTTTGCAAAATGAAGGTCTATGTCAAGGAAGTAGGACGTGATATTCCTTTATTTATTCATTCATTATTTCTTCCTCTTTATTTCAATCTACTGGGTGGTTATTTTTTCGATATTGTGCGGGTATTGTTTTTATTGTAATTATTATCTTTTTTGGCTCGTTCGCATCACAACGATTGTTATAATTATTGTCACAATTTTTATACTCATTGTGACTTTTATCCCCAATGCCATAATCAGTATCCATAGGTGTCTTTAGCATTAATGAAACATTGTATGTATAGAAAATCAGCAAAATACATTGCCAGAAAGAGAAAAAGTAACAAGAAGAATATATATTGTACATTAACATGAAATCGTAAACAGGTACAGTTGAAGAGGTACAGTTGTTCTTTGCTCTTTGCTCTGTTCGTATCCACGTCTGTTCTTAAGGAGTTTCTTGTGATGATTAAATGCAGCGCAACGCAATGGTTTTGAATTAAATTAGAAAAGTAGACAAAGCATTAAAAATAAGCAAAAATTTAGACATGAATTGCAAAGATCGCACTTAGCTGCCAACAGAAGGCCCAGGAACTCATTTTCTTAATGAAAAGCAACTGTGTCTATATGTACATGTATATAGGTATGTATATATATAATGTGTGTGTGTGTGTGTGAGTGGGTGGGTGGGTGTGTGTGTGTGTGTGTGCGTGTGTGTGTGTACGTGTGTGTGTTTGTGTGTGTGTGTGTGTGTGTGTGTGTGTACGTGTCTGTGTGTACGTGTGTGTGTTTGTGTGTGTGTGTGTGTGTGTACGTGTGTGTGTGTATGTGTGTGTGTATCTCAGGAAACTCGCCTGTCGGTTGAATCCCTTGCAGCCTCCCACGACCCTGCAGGCGGCGACGCACTTGGCGAGCGACGCCCCGGCCAGCGTGCGAAGGACCTGGCCCTCGAGCTTCCCCTCCAGCCCTCGGGCCAT